TTCGTAACTGTACATTTTTAATTGATTTGCGTTTAAATCAGAAAAATAAATAATGTGTCATAAAAAGAAAGAATAAATACTCCGGTTACAAATTGTGAAAAAGATCTGTCAAAGATTATCTAAGTAACAGAACGGACAATTCGATCTTAGTGCCTACGCTCTACCTTAAACTCCGGAACTCCGGTGTTTGAATCCAGAGTTTCAAAACTTAACCCCGAAGCAAAAAAAATACTCCGATTCCGATTTCGATCGAAACCCTCGTGTTATTATACATATTATATATCAGTGTCAGGTATATTTTATCGCTTGAAAAGCTTCATTTATACACGGGCAAATTATATATACACTAACGACAAAGGAAAATAATACTGTCACCAACATTTTTATGTTGAATTGTTGATCGAAGTCTTTAACTCGTTTAGGTAAAAGTAGGCATTGAACATGCATTAAATCATTATACGTCTGGTATGTGACATGATCAATTACAGTCTATGAATAATTGGAAAGTATCGTGCCATATGCGTGTGTATATGCTGGGGACAACTTCTGGCATCGTATCAGTACTGACATGACCCATCTACCCTTTTTTATTGTAATATCTTCGGTTTGAATAATGGCGTCACGTCATTGTAACTTGCAATAGTTTGGCAGTAATACTAGTATATTTTTGATACCTAACTGACTGTTTACTTCTTCGGCAGCGTAAATTATAGCCGCGTATGATGTGGCTTCAGCCCGTAGGTGAGAGAAAAAAAAATCGGTACTATAGTTTCAGAAAAAATAATAGTAGATAATTAAAGCTTCTTAATTTATCTTACTATATAAAAGTTATATTTACAATAATATGGATATTAATAAAGTTGCACTAAAAGTCGTCTAGTTTATTGTTACAATGCCTGATTTAGTTAGCCTTTGAAACTTTTAAAAATCTCTTATATGTTTTAAAAGTACATAAAAACAATTTACGATTGTAGTAGCTATTGTAGCTGTTACCTTTTTAAACTTCGACACTTTAAAAAAACCTCATCTGAATAGTTATGATTCGTACCTACTTCAGCCCTTGATAAAAATATTAATTTATCAGAGGAGATATTTGTTTGTTTGTTTGTCTGCATCGACGCTACACACCACTAACGTAAGCAGGCTTCTGTTAGTAGAGAAGTTCTATACGAAGTGACAAAAACTATAATTTACGAAGGCGAAGTTGCAGGAAAAGAGCTACGTATACAGTTTGAATTATCATCATCATCTTCAGCCTATTAATATCGCCATTGCCGGACACAGGCTTTTCCTATAGACGAAATGAAATAACGGAAATGGACTATTATTTGGTTAACTTGTCATTTCCTATTCTGTAACCAACACAGAATTACTATAAAAAGCGCAAAGAAATCACATTTCTTTATTTGTTTATTTTTTGAAATTGAAAACTTTTTTTGTATCGAATTTAGTTACTTACTACATAAGTAAATAGCACCCAGGCTAACAAAAATCCAACACACCAGCAAATTAAATAGATAGTAAGAATAAAAAACAAAACGATGTGAATATAATCGAATTATTTCAAAGAGCACTAAAAAGCTCCTAACTAGATGGCGACCCTAGGAAAAGTTGATTTTTGCAGGAAACGAATGGACCAAAGATAGTCCTTTTAACTAACATGTTAAAAAACTGAAAATTTCAAAGTTCGGACCTTAGATATCAATACAAATACGAAAAAGTACAAATAGAATATGAGTTGTTTATTGAATTTTGAAAATTAATTTACTTTTATACATGAAAGAAAACCGGAAAGGTTGTCATGGAGAAAGGTCCGTAGCGACATCTAGTTTGATATCGGGAATTAATGCTATTCTTAAATACTTCTTCATTACTTATTAAAAAAACGAACTTGATTGATAGATATATTAATAAATATATAAGCGAGAGCTTTTATTATTCTATATTTGTTGTTTTTGCGGCAAGAGAAAAACCTACGTCAGTTATATGAAAAAATCCACTGTCTGAATGAATCACGGTGACAGACTAACGGATATCGGAGTCTTAACATTTTAGTGATATTTTGAGGTTTGAGGTAACAAACATCATGCATACTTAATGTAAATTTAAGACTTATATGGCTTTCTCACTGTCAGATCTGGAACAAACGGAACCACACAGCAAGCACAAGCTTTATAATAAAGAAAATCATCAAAATCGGTCCACCAAATAAAAAGATATGAGTGAACAAACAGAAAAAAAAAATACAGTCGAATTGAGAACCTCCACCTTTCTTAAGTCGGTTAAAAAGAAAGGAGGTAACTTATGAAACTACATACTATAGAAGTTCGGTGATTAAAAACTACAACCCTGCCTTTCAAAAAGTAGTTCATTAGAATTGTATGACTACTACCGCCACCTGTGTAGAAATTCCGCATCTACTACCGGTTACCAAAGCACATATAAAGCTTTCACTGCTTCCGTAATTTCGAGCTTTCAATCGCCACCGCTAGTGTGATAGTTTAATTTAATCTTAAAATAATCATAATTTATTATTTTAGCCTTTTCTAAAATGAAGCATTTTAAGATAATACTTTTCTAATTTTTAAATAAAACGTATTATTATTGTACTGTGTCATCTTAACGCAATTTTTAAACTTTAAAACATTTACGTTCGTATATTTTTAACAGAGTTTTAAACAGATGTCGCTAGTTGCATATACTGTGACTTTCAATGAGCCTTTTTGATTTTCCCCTAGATGGCACTTTATTTGCTTCGGTTACTGAAAAAGTAGTTTCAACCGTTTACCAGCAACGGCGCTGCTTATCAATTTAAAACCATTTAGCAGCCTAAATCAATTTTATGATAAATTTTTAGTTGATACAGGTAGAAATTGTTAACATTGGACAATTTTTTCGTATGGTTATGAATCTATAATCGCACATATTTACAATTTATTTTTATTTTTAATTTCATATTTAATTATCAAAAATCATAATTTGCTCTTTATTTTAATATTCGTTAATATTTTCAGGTTCAGTTCAAAAGTAGAGAACAAACTGTAGGTATTAACAAAAACGGTCATCGACCTCTGTTATTTTATACGGCGGTCGGTCGATTAACATTTTGTTTTTTATACCTAGGTATATCATAAGTACCTAGTAACGTGTTATATCTTTTTTATATTTATCTTTAATATTAGTAGGTAAAAAAAAGAGAATACGGGATCATTTTCCTTATTGAATACAAAATTCGATTTTTTTATACTGATTATATTTTTTCTGTATAGGTACTACACCTATAATTCAAAATAAATTATATAACAAAATAGATAAATCGAGGGTTTACTGCAAAAACCGGCTAAATGCTACAAACCTTGTTTTGAGATATCGAGTCTAATAATATGTTTACGTAAATTTTTAACTCTATAATTTTAGTGGGTTATACGTGTTATACGTTGTTAGTTGGAAAACATCTTTAAGTATAATAGTTTTGTAATATTACTGAATATGAGTAACAGAAATCATGAAATTAGGTAATTCATGAGCAAGGTCGTACGGTTAACTGGTTTTGCCTGTAAATTGCTAAAATGCTGTATTGCCGAGATTATTATTGTTTATGGTGATTTTTATTCTAATTTGCGTAGATGTTAGCAAATAATATTTTTTTATGTAAAAATATAGTGATAAAAGACTAAATTTAAGGTGTAGTCAATAAAATAAAAAAACATAGCTGGTTTTCCCTGTATTTTTTATTTAAGTAGCTTGTGCTGAACGCAAAGAAAAAAACTTTTATAATCAATTTAAACTTGTGAATAATCATCCTTTCTTGAAAGTAACAAAGTTGCTTTTACAAATCGGTTTTAATTAAATATCTGCAAAATGTTCATAAAAACGTTCAACAATCGTCTTCATTTTCTAAATCACTAACAGTCGGCTCAGGTAGTCTATCATTCAACTTTTCAGTTTTTAAGTTTTCGATCCAGCCGTGTAGCTCTTCTGGTATTATACCTTTCTTACACAAATTTATGAGATCTCTTTTTTTGGCTTCGGTTATTTTGAGAGGTTCTTGATACAGACGATTTAACTGGTTCGGAAGTTCATGATCAGCAGGTGAGTTATTTTCAGTATGTTGCATTTTCTTTCGCGTTGAATACTCATGTTGGGTTGTGAAAGTGGATGGAGTTTCCCCAATATTCATGACATTAAAATGTTCACTCATGTCATAATTAAAAAACAATTTTCTTTCTTCTCCTTTTACATACCTTATTCTCTTAATCTTTAACCATTGCACTCTGTTTCCTTTTTCATCTTTCGTCTTATTCTTCATAATTGCATCAGCAAGGTGCTTCAGGTCAAGAAACTCGTTGTACTTAAATTCTTTGACATGGTATGGTTCTCTAATTATTTTCTTTCCATCAACTTTTACAGTTTGCCTGCGCCTAGCACGTTTAAAAATTGATATCCATTCCATCATAGAAAAAACGGACGTGTTTTTTTTTGCAGATTCTATGCTACTATGCATAGAATCTGCTTCCATCTGGCTGTGTCCAGATTCCAAAAACTTTTGCTCAATCACTTTGAAGTGGTCAATTTTCTGGACTGCCCAAAGTAGTAAGGCGGCAACAAATTGATTGCGGTTTTGACCGCCACATGTGTCTGAGAATAAACTGATTTCTGTGACGTTTTCAGGGACACAATTAGTAAGATAGTGTAAAAGTATAGTACCAATTTCGCAACTACCTTTCTTGCCGTTAACCTCCGACCATGGGAAGCAATAGGCATTATTAGGTAGACCTGCTTCGTATACTGTTAGGTTGTAAACACATAGTTTTCTTGAATAATAAAGCAGGCCTACATCACAAGTAGGTATTTGGAGGACTGCTTGTAAATCAAACGTCACAGTACTAAAATTCTCCTCTGAGTTTGCTTTTATTTTATCTTTTTCTTTTTCCTTATTACAAGTCTTCTTTCTCTCCTGATGAGCCAAGTAAACTTCTCCAAGTTCTTTTTTCTTTTCAGTATCAGCCTGGGCATAATTAGTGCAAATTAGGCATTGATCTTTTCGAGGTATAAAGAAGCTCAGGTTATATTCGTTGGAAAATATTCGTCTATAAGTTATTTCAGACGCCGGCTCAACCTCGTTTTTTAAACACTCATCTTTGTACAATAAATGCATCTTTCGTATGTTAAGATTTTTATCTAAGTATCTGCGTTGAGTGTCTTTTCTACTGTAATGGGCTTCCATACAAGGAAACGATTCAATATGGTTCCTTACTCCATGAATAATATCAGGTTTTGTTTTGTTAGCAGGTGTGTGTCCACCTCTTGCATCACATGCATCAAAACAGTTCATGTCATTTCGTTTTTTTATTGCATCAGTTATTACAGAAGGTAAGATACTCAAAGTATTACAAAAAAACTTTTGACATACCTGTTTTTTCTCATTTTCTTTGGTAAAAAAACATTTTTTAGTATATGTCTTTTCTGTGCGGTGTCTATTGTGGGCAGCCAGGATTCGTTTTGGAAGTTGTATTTGTATATTGACTAAAATAAATTTTTTTTTTGCCCTGGAAATCCAAATTCCAAAAATATCTACAGATTTCCTCTCTATTTTTTGCTGTAAAAATATCAGTACATTTGAATTGACATTTGCAGCAATCAATATCTTTAGGCACTTTGGCAGGTCTCACTTTCGATTTAGTTCTATAAGACAAACCATCTGCTCGTCTTTTTTTTGCTACATTACGAGCCCAACAACTGGGATCAGATTTGCGCCACCGTTTTGTTGGTTTTAAGAGTAGCCAAGTCTTTTTAAGAAGATCAGTCAAAAAATCTTCAACTACGGCAGTAGCTTCGCTATTTTGTTTTTCACCTTCCTGGACAGCTTCAATAATGTTTTGCAACTCTTCGACTTCAAACTGTTCCCTTGTTTCGTTGTCTCTTCTACCTAGTAAATCATCTAATGTTACTAAATCAGCGGAGTCTACGTGTCCCATATGTGGTGAGTAGTCCTGGGGGTGGTAAGTTGGGTCATCTGTATCAGAAACGTCACCGAAAAAGCTCTCTAATTCCTTTTCAGTTGAATCATCTGATTGTTCCCCTAAAATATAAAGAAAACATAAAAATAAATACATCTTTTCTTTTTAAACTCCTCGAGCCAGCAAATGTAATCAGTATTAATAAGTATCATTAGCGTTCAGTACCTAAACTCACTACGGATTTGTAAATATCATCTTAAGATTAATTAAATATAGCTTACATACCATCAGTCAAAGTTTGATGTAGCTCTATACCACTCATCATAATATTCTCATCGTTGTTAAATATTGACAGGGTTTCTTGAATTTCTACATCCCTGGCGTTAATATTAGATTGTATATTTTCTAAAAATAACATCCGAAATGGTTATGTAAAAGGCATTTTTGCATTGTAAATAATTTGTTTAAAACATAACCTCAAAATAAAACTTACCGGTAGTAAAATCATTATTACTAACCACTAACGACACTAGTTTTTTTCCTCTTGACGTCATTTTTACCAATACATATCACAGTCTACACAATTAATTTCAAAACAATTGTATTAATAATGACAAAGTAATACTTTCGATTTGAAAACCGCTCGCTGTGAACACTTGAAGCAAACTGACAACCTGTCAAAACATGTTGGCGGCGCTTATTTCTTTTTTACAACGGATACATGATCGTCAATTTCATCAAAGTATTGTGCATAAATCAGCTAGAGTTAGTTAGTCGGTTTTGCCTGTCGAAGATTTCTAATGATTATAAGTTGTAGTACAGGCAATTGATATTAAGAGCATTTGAAAGATTTTGGCAGTGAGATTTTACAGGCAATGACAGCTAAAGTCGTCTATAAAATACGATTAAGTGAGTTTATTTTTTATTAACAGAACGTGTTTGAGTACATTTTATTTTGATAGTTCTTAAGAAAAAGATGTTAAGTATGCTTATTTCTTTTTCTCAGTATAGATTTATAAACATTCCTTCATAAACGTGTTTAAGTGGTTTTATCACATACTTATTGTAATTTTGCTGTATTTAACCGTTTTTGACACCAAGTAACTTCTAATCGCCTGATCGTATCGCTTAGCCGGTTTTGCCAGTAGAAAGAGCTTAAAAAAATAAGTATCTTGGTGCTCTTAACTCATTTCTGGAAAAAATGTCGGTTAGCCGGTTTTTGCAGTAAACCCTCGAAATTATTAGGTATCAAAACGGACTCACTTTTTCAATTGAACATTATTATTGAAGATTTTTACTTATAAAAGGATTCAGTTGAGTCTGCTCAATAAAATTACAATTTGTTCTTCTATTCGAATTCTCAACTAGATAGGTGATTAGGTACTAGGAATAAGTAATGATGCGAAAAAGTTATGAAAAACTATTTATTTTCAATTCCGAACTCACTATCTCTAGTCTATGTCAATATCAATACATACATTTCTGAAAATCTCTCTGAATCTAAACTCGTATATTTCGTCTAATATATTACGATTTACAAAATGTTTGACTCTTTATAATTTATTGTTAATCATTCAACCATTCAGCGCAAACAAATTATTCAATAAAACAACTTATGAACTGGTTATAAAGTTCGTTTAATATATATTATATAGGTACTTAAATCATGAGACTACGTAAATGAAATATTCTCGAATTGACTTTCATATTCAAAGTTAAAAATATGAAATTTACAATACTAACGCCATCTATTGAGGGTTAAATGTAACATAATCGAACTCTGAACCACATTCTATTGTGCTATTATTTTTCTGTTAATTTTGCTAATAAAACTATTTTATTAAAATGATTCGGTGAATAGAAACGTATACTAAATCCAAAATTATTTAGTGAATAAAATGAAAATATTAAGTTCTTCGCACTTTATACAGAGTTCATTAGTTGTTTCATTTTGTACTTTTATAGTAGGTATATTCGCATATTTAATATTGCATAATAACACATCAATAATATTGAATGTTTTTAATAAATATAATTACACAAATGTATGTATGTAGCTAATACTATTACAGTATAATTTTTAAATCAATTGCTAAAGAGAAATTAGAATAAAAAACCTTTGATAAATAACAGCTTATATAATCAGACCAAACATTATAACAGCCACTATTTTTTGAAGTCAAACGGGCGTGCAAATATAAAAAATACTTCACGGCATTTAATTAAATAGGTACCAACTAACTTTTTTACAAAAGCTTACTATGCAAAATGATTATTTATCTCTTAGACTCATATCGCCTTATTATAAAATGTGGACTAAAGTTAAAACACGGTTTAAAACATTTAGCTGCCTAAAGCAAATTGACAATGATGTAAGAGACACGTCAAATTAAGTCGCATTGACTTATTTTGGTCGGATAATGATTTAAACTTGGTACTAAATTTAGTCTTCGTTTTATAATAAGACGGGGAATCTATTAGGACACCAAAGTACATCACTAGCAAGATACCCATAGCTACAAACAGTAGCCAAGTATCAACCGAAGCTCAATAGTGTTTTCGATTAATTTAATATCAATAATTTGGTTGTACTGCTGATGACGCCATAATGGATTCCAAATAAAACTCTTATCTGTGCTGTTGTGGCTCGAGAAGAAGTGTTTTTTTTAATTCTCCCTTAAAAATCAAAATCAAAATTGTGGATCCATATTTTGAGTATCTATATTTTCTAAGTTCTTTCAATGTGTCCGAAAATAACATCGCCGTCAAAGAAACCTAAAACCTCCTTTTCCATTAAGAAGTCGATTATATAATAGGTGAAAATGTACATATGCTTGTAAACAAACTTTTAATATCTATTAGATATTTGAGAAGATATTATGCAAATAAACAGAATACAATTTGATAATTGTTTTGATTTTGTTATTTACAAAGATATAAAATCCTTACACAAATCATTACAAATTAAATAAGTTATAGAGAGATTTACACGTTAAAAATATTTGATATGACAATTCGATTAGTGCACAAAGAAGGACCGATTCTAATTTCACTTACATAAATTAATTTCAGTTACAATTTATGTATTTTTAAACAAAAAAAATTTACAAGTTATGTTAGGTTGGGGAAAAAGTCTTTTCGCATAAACTTGTAATAAAATCTTCTGGCTATACCATTTGTATCTGCCTGGTTTCGGTATTATTAAAAAGTTTAAATTTTAACGAAGGTAACTCCAAATTCAAATTAGGAAAATGTGTGATTTTCATTTGCTTTTCTTACTGTCAAAATAAGTGAATCTAATGAAGTAATATGATATACTAGTGGACGCCCGCGACTTCGTCCGCGTGGAAGTCGGTATCCCGTGGGAGTGAGAAGTTTTCCCAGTAAAAAGTACCCTATGTGTTATTCTGATGTATAACCTATATTGCTGTAAAGTTTTATCCAAATCCGTCCAGTAGTTTTTTCGTGAAAGAGTAACAAACATCCATACATCCATACTTACAAACTTTCGCCTTTATAATATTAATAGGATTTTAAATTTTTATTACAAAAAGGTAATTTATGACGTTTGTGGACCTAGTGCAGTGTCTGTGAGAGTAGCACAAATTTGATTTAAGAGTTTTCAGTCCGGAAACTTTGATGTCAAAATGCACGTCGTTTCGATCGCACTGTTACGGATAAATGGGCTGCCATTTTTGAAAAAAATGGAGCAAGATTGACTTAGCCAAAGGTCGATCAGGCTTCACAGGCTGTGGCAAATCCTGATTAACTCGCAACAAGATGATGCTGTGAGTGTGGTGGAATTGGAAGGGCAATATTCATTATGACCGCCAGGCAAAGCCATCGGTTCTGAACTCTACCGCGAATAACTGATGAGATTTTAAGCGAGAAGTTGAGAGAAAGCGACCATAATTAATCAATACAAAGAAATAAAAATTAAAACAGTAACCACTACTCGCGGTTTTTTGGTCAGAAGCCAAAAAATGTTTTGAACTTTCATAGAAAATGCGAAGAAACTTTTTCCTAAACCTATTATTATTCCAAAGACATTTACTTACATGATAAACCATGTAACTAGGCATAATTTTAATATGAAGCAATGACAATTATAACAATTGTAATTACAAGTAAAAATAATTTTAAATGTGTAGTACAAAATCAAACCAAAAACCTAACTAGTGTTGCCGTCTCGTATTTCTCGGGACGTCCTGTATTTCATGCATAAATTCAAATGTTCTCTGTCCCGTATATCAGATCGATTTCACAAATGGTGTTACAGTGGGGTGATGAACAAAATGAATGTAACCTCCAACTTAATAAAAATCAAATTAATGTCCATTTAAGTATGATTTTAATTCTTTTTTTTATTATGTCAAATCTAACAAAAATCGACGCTGAAAAGCAAACACGTAGCAACCTGCAAAACAATACAAGTGATTTGTTTTTTTTATTAATCCTGGATAAAAAATGGAACACCCGTATTTTTTGCACATTTAAAAATTTCTCCCTTACAGACTGAAAAAAAACTTGCAACCCTAAACCTAACTAAATATTGTTAGGTATACAAACAAATTTAATGAATTCTATAACATAGATACATAAAACTGCCGTACAAAAACTACAGTAAGCACAGTTGGTGTACAAGATATAAAAAATATGTTCCACACAAACTCAAAACAAACTAATCCTAATATATACATTATTAGAGCATAATATACTCCGAGAATTGAATAATATCATGTAGTTTTTGATAAAGCTTTTGATCCACTTCATAGTATTGCGGTAACTGCAATTTCAAACGAAATTTCATTGCATATTTTATGATCTTTGTACAAATTTTCATAATTTAAACATAATTCCTTTATGATAGTGGTTGATCAAAGTTGTTTTAAATAATTCGTATACGTTTACTTCCGACAAATAAATTATCAAAACATCTCCAGAGATCACAAGGGCTCATTATAAGACTTAACATAATTATTCACATTTCAACATCTCGACTCAATGAGTCAAATTTCAAATCTTTTACTTCTTCGGGACTAAAACTTTTTACAGATATTTTGCCGGTTTCACCTGTTATATCTGTACTCGACAGCTTATTCGTTATTTTCGTTATGGAAATTCTACTTTCTATATCGTTTGCATCACAAATAGGTTCTATTATAGCACCTTTCTCCACTTTTCTTGGTTTAGCTGGAAGATTTGGTGCGAAAACTTTTGTATTTCGTAACTTTTCACTAAGTATTTTATTACAATTCTTCTTCGACATGTCGATGGCTAGAGGATCTTCTTTAGCAGGTTCTTCTTTCTTCTCTTCCGTTATCGGTTTGTTTTGTTGCTTGAATTCCGCTACTTCAGCGTTCGTTATATTGTCTTTCTTCTTCCATTTCGTTCTTCTGTTCTGGAACCATATTTTCACCTGGAACAGAATATGTTATTTGTTATTTTCTGACTCCAATGTTGCACATTTACTATTTTATCAATTAACAATAATTTCATTTTTTTTGTTTGATATCTTGTAATTTTTTAATTTTTAACAACTCAAAAGTGATTGTAAATACTTCTTCAAAATAAATAATTCAAACTAAATTTGAAATAAAATAAATATTGCTAAAAATCATAACAGCCATTATAATTCTGGAAAATTTCTATTATGTTTATAAATATT